CATTTTAACACTGAAGTAGAGAAATAATAATGGAAAAAATGTATGAACCCCCAAAATTAAGTATTAGCAATATTCTTAACCAAATGTTTTTCACTTCCTGTAGCTGCTGTTTAAATTCATAGATCTATGTACAAAAGATTTTGGCTCATGCATATATTTGGAATTTCTTGCTTAAACAAACTACTTTACATCACACCACAGAACATCAGTGGGAATGGGGTCAGAACTCTGGCCTGGCAATTTTAATATGTGCAAATCTTCCTACATTAGTCATCCATTAAAGTTTATCTAATGTACAGTTTGTATTGTTTTGTATTGAATACAGAGGGACTAGAACAATTGTCTAGTGTTTATTGTTACCTGTGTCTCCACTGGGAAGACTCCTTTTTAGCATGAACCCAAAATGAAGACGGTGTGAAGATGGATTCCCTGTCAGCCGTGACAGTGCGCCACTGGAGTGATCTGTTTCTTAGTCTGTAAGTCTGACAAAATGTGCGGATTTACATACACTCTAAGCCCTGTGTTTTGCATCATTATTCTGGTTCATGGCTCTACTGATTTTGAGATTTTACATCACAGAGATATCTTGCATCCTGCTGTTGAACTTTTTGATTTAATATGGAATTCCTTATAATGTTAATGCTTGCAAGCCATAAAGACCTTGGGACAACAAAAATGTGATGTTATTGTGTTGATTTCTCAGTGTTTTTTTCAAGAGCAAAATAATTATAATAAAATGATTAACTTTGATCATATTTGTCCACAGATTTTTTTAGCAATGCTGAGGAGCATCCAGAAGGCATTAGCAAATAATATCCACAGCAAATTGTTTTTTTTTTTAATAAGATCAGCTTTCTCTTTTGTCATTTTTGTTTAACACCTCTCTTGTTCATATTTTTATAGTAGTCACTAGGCAGTTAAATATTTTATCACATTAGTTGCATTTGAAGGAAAGGAGATTTTACCATCCTCTGCTAGAAAATTTTGTCACGATGGTCCAGAAGTTTTTGTTCTGCCTTTCTCTGGGCTAAACTTACTGGAGTTTTATTAAAGTGTAGAACATATATATTTACTCTTTTTTTAGTAACCCTGCTAAGAATGGAGTGCCACTAGTCTAAATATAGTGGGCAGCTAGTTTGCAGCAAGTCTGAACTCTTGATTGGTACTATTTTCTTTGTTTGTTTCCCCTAAGCCTAGGTAATTGTTTGCTTCTGCCTGTTGTTGGGGAGCATTCCCCAGCATGTAGAGTAAAGGTAAAGTATTATAGATTATGAATATTTTTCTAAATTGCCAATCACTAGGTGGTTTTTGACAGTGATGTGGCTGTGGAAAGAGCTAAATATTTGTGGAGCACTTGTAGAAGGGTATTTGCCCTTTGACCTTTTTTTCTGCCTTGACAGAACTCCTTGAGAGAGATTGCTCAGTCAATTGATGGTCATAGCTGAAAGGCCTACATTTAAGAATTGCTTGTATCATCTTAAAGGGACACCCCTAACCCATGAGAGGAGCTGAAATTAATTATTTTTCAGCAGAGGCATTTTTATTATTTGGGTGTCCTGTATATTCTATCCCTATCTCCCTGGACAAAGCAAAGATTTGACTGCTTGGGTGTTGGTGATTCAGTTGCTGCAGGATTGGTGAGTGCTTTGGGGAATTATAGGCAAGATCACCAATAGTAAACTTAAGAGGACCAATTAAATTCAGCACCTTCTTTGGGGGTTATGCCTTTTTTGTTTTGCAGCAGTTATGTGGCACTGACATATTATTTAGTGTTTTGCATGAAACATAAAGACATTCATATTTATTCTTGCCCACAAAAGGTGCTCAGAACCAAATGTCCCTACCATATATACAGTATACAGTAAGTGGCCAGTTTGAGAGAGACACAGATAATGTACCTCAATATTTTGGGATTTTGGAAGAAAACCAGAGCATCTGGAAAAAAAATAATGAAACAAAACTCCATGCAGATAAAGAAGGCCATAACTGGTTTGAATCAGCAGGGACTGGCCAAAATTTGAACCATCTATGGCCAGGCTGATTATACCCAAACTGATTGTTGTAGGACTTGGGTACAACCAGCCTATCCGATTTTTCATGTGATTATTGCTGCTACCAATAATCACTATGTTCGCATGGCAAGTGATTATTGTTAGTGGCTAAAAACACTTGCAATAATTACTGTATTCTCCGGGTGGGGACAGCTCCCCCCATGCCTCCTCATGTCTCCCAGCCAGGAGAACACAATAGCTCCATGGTGGGATTCCCCCATCAACACTGACTGTGTTGATGGGAGAACTTAGCAATTTTCTTTCCTACAACCTGTGCTTGCAGGAAAGAAAATCATATCATCTATGACTGGCTTTACTGCACAACCTGTTGCACACATTCAGAAATCAGCTGCATTGTTTTGTCCTTGGCTTGATTGATTCATCAAAGCATTCATTCACCTAGATGGAGGATCTGCTTGCCTGACAGTCAACAGTTTCCGATGCATGGTGTGGAGTCATGGACAGGGAGCAGGACAACTAGTAAGTTCAGAGTAGTCAATTTCATTTATTTAGGGACAAGAGAGGACAAAAAACGTTTTAACAGACTGTAATTAAAACAGTTGTAAATATTTTTGTGCAATGGCAGTAATTATTTAAAGGAGCTGTGAAATGCACTGTTCTGGGAATGCTGATTTGAAAAGAGCCTGGAGGGCAGGAACTCTATTGATTTACTATTACATGGGCGTGGTTTAAGCAAGAATGTCTTCTTTTGCTTATCTGCAGCCTTTGACTTGCCTCTGTAGTAGAACCTCCACAGTCTTTTAGAGCATGTTCACAGTCTTTGATTCATTCAGTGTGCCTGCAGTTGCTCACCACCTTCTGACAGTCCTCTTGGGCATGTATATTATCACTAACAGTCCATGTCTGCAGTCCATTCATTTGCTACCATTTTAGATTAATACATTTTGATTAATTTGCTATCATTTTAGATTAATACATTTTGTACCACGGTAATGCACAAAGAGTGTGCACCCTCTTGTGTGTTTTTTTATAGAGACTTGAAGATTCCCCAATCTGTGGAGGGCTGCTCCTGAATGACTGGCATACACCATGACATGTGGATGCCCTGATTTGAATGCTGATGTGATTTTGGTTTTCATGGAGTCCATGTCTGCAGCCTGTGTCATTCTGCTTTAACATCCCTGTAGTTTTTGCCAGTCTTCTGTAACATATCTACAGTCTCTGACAGTTTTTTATAGTCTCATGGAACATGACTGCAACCTTTGAATATCTCTTGGAACATAGTACAAGACTTTGTAAAGAAGGAATGATGAGCTTAATGCTCTCTACTACTGGGTACACACAGAATAATTTTTTTTTGTTCAACCCAGTAGGCTGAATGAAAAAAAAAATGTAAAGATCGCTGTACCAGCACATCTGATGCTAGTTTGGAAATCTCTCTGCTGACTTATTGTGTCCTAAAAGGGGAACCACCTCCCCACCAGGACACACTGATCAGCACTGGCAGCCATTGGTTGCCAGTGCTGATCTGATGCCGATTGTGTGCTGGTTTTTCAGCTTGCCCATTATACCATAACTGGTCTTGAGACCAGCTTCTTTCAGATGAGGAGCTGTACACATGTACGGAAAGTCGGCTGGTTCCAGCTGAACCGACCATTTTTGGACAATTTTTGGCCTGTGTGTACCCAGCTTAAATCTACCAAGCCACTTCCACCACTAGTTTAAACCATTTGTACATCAACAATATGGCAACTTGACTGTTGTGTGCGTGTTTATCATCATTTTGATTTAGATGAAGACCAGAAAAGCTTATTTTCTCAAAACTCTACCGTAAAAAACAGGATCAAGAGACTGATGTATAAGAAACCTTCCATAATAGCATATTTAATTGTGACATCATATGAAAAAAACAGTTTAATGGAAGGTCTTCCACTCCCTGATCAATTATAATTTTTAGAAAACTCAATACTATTTCCTGGCCTGTACCAATACTTGCAGTACAATTACAAAAACTAGTATAAAAGCTAATTACACCTTTTGCTTTATAAAGCTATGTATGGTCAGCAAATCTCAGTTGCCATGTGACAAAGAGAACAAATATTATACCATGTAGGAATCCGACAAGGGCAGATCCTCATAAGCCAGGGGTTGCCGCTCACACTTCTTTATGAAAAAGGAAAGGAAAATAAAAAACAATAAAAAAAAGATGTAAATCAAAAAGTAAAAGTAAAAAGATGAAAAGCAATGCCATATGTAAAGACATAATGCAACACATGATGAGGGAATTCTTTTAAGGTGTTCACACTAATGTTTATGTTCTTTAACATTTATGGTATACTAAATATAACATGTTAGATTACATTTGAATGAAAATTAGGCATAAATGAATCTTGTGGTAAGATCATTTGATAATTATAATTATTTTATTATAAACTTATATTTATAGTTTTTTTAGATCTTTACGTTGTTTAATATTTCTTGATTCTAGGATTCCATAAAAAGTTGACCCCTATATATTTAGGTGTAAATTGTACCTTTGCAAATACCAGTGAGGCTAAATCAGGGTTTCCTTAGCACTGCTTTATCTGGAAATCACTTTTAGCTAAGTGCAATAGCAAAGTTTACATGCCCCCCCCCCCCAGAATTTTGGAAGCATGAATGATGTTGATTATGACAGTGTTCATTGGGACATTTCAGACCACAGGAGAGCTTGTATGTGAGAGCTGCGTGTGACTCCAGTAACCAGGGTTCTTGTTAACTCTATCTACAGCACTTGACAGGAAGCCCTGCCCTGGCAGGAAGTGATGGGTAATGTTCTCAACAGGGACACAGAAGCAATTAAACACCTGATTGAAATCCCTTTCCTGCTCTATCCAAAACAAATCAAAATGTTTTGACTGGAGTTGAGCTTTAACATCTTTCCATCTGGTCCATGTCCCATGTTGATAAACGGCCGTACGGGAGCACTGCCGATGCAGGTGGACATTTCTAAATGCCCACCTGCATCCATTGACTGAGCACACTCCCTGGGAGTGCGCAGCACCGCAATCGGTGCCCGCTGCGTCCTCTGAACACAGATCGCTGTACGGGACCTTTGTGATCACATGAATAGTTGAAAATAAGATGTCACTTCCTGACATCATTGCTTACTACTTGTGAAATCTGTGAATGATCACAGAGCTCACATGGTATAAGACTATTCACAACAGCCTTGTTCCGTGTGACAAGCTGTGACCAATCACAGCTCACACAGTATTTCTCAATGGCTGTAGAAATGCAGCCAGAGAGAAGGAGAAATTATTGCTTTTACAGCCTTTATGGGTATAAAAGCAATCAGTGTAATAAAGGAAAAAAAAATCTTCTTCATCCCCCACAAGTAGTACAGTGTCACTATAGTGACACTGTACTGCTAGTGTGACAGTATGTTAAAAAAAACAAAAAATATAAACAAAATAAAAATGTAAAAAGAAGTTTGAAAAAGTCTAATTTTTGGTTATAAACTAATTTGGGTTATTTTTTTTACTAAAAAGATAGATGAATACATTTTTGCCAAGATTTATGAAGAAAGATTATTTATTAGCAAAATTTTATAAGAAACACTTTTTTTTCAAAATGTTTGAACTTTTTAATTTATATAACAAAAAATAAAAATCCTAGTGGTAAATAAATACCACCAAAATACATTTTTATCTGTTTCAAAAAAATGCTAAAAAATTCATATGGGTACAGTGTTGAATGACCGCGCAATTGTCATTCAAAGTGTGATAGCACTGAAAGACGAAAATTGGCCTGGGCAGGAAGGGGGTGAAAGTATCCAGACTTGAATTGGTTAAATTGTACTGGAAAAAATGCATTATTAGACTGTTCTGTTAGTGTCAACCTCTTAAATCTAGAGTGTTCATAATGAATTTCATACCTTCCGAACTCACAGCTTTTGTCCTCGTGAGAAATTTTGCCTTGCTTACTGCTTCGGCCATGAAGTTTTGGACCTTTCTGTAACCTTTCAAGTTTGCATTATTAATTCCAGATATGCCTCAATATAAAACAACAGTATATTTCTTAAGCTGTGCTTTTTAATATTCATCAAATACAGTCCTAGCAGTCCTTGAGTTCCTGGATAGTTATTGTTAGTAGGCTGAGTGGTTCTGACTGATAAAGTGATGTCATGGTTCTGCTGCAGACAGGTGGAAGCCCTTTCTGTTTCCTCATCTTCAATCATCACTCTAACAGAACATTGTAACAACATACCCAAGGTAAAAAGTAGCAAGAGAGGGGCTGATCTGATTGGGGAGACGTGTTCACACAGCCCAGCACATAAAGATTACTACAGAGGCATCTGGATGTACAGTACATGAATGTGCGATGTAGAGGAATAGGTTCTAACCAGGGGCGGACTGACAACTCATGGGGCCCCCAGGCAATAGGGAATCATGGGGCCCGTGTCCTTGCCCAAACTCAAAAAAGCCTATGAAAAAGGTACCAGGGGCATCTCATGGGGCCCCCTACTGACCCCGGGCCCTCAGGCAGTGCCCTAGTTTCCAAATGGTCAGTCCGCCCCTGGTTCTAACCCCTTACCATATAAAAAAATGGATTTGCATACACACAATGTAATAACTGATAAAAGTAAAAGTGTCAAGATTTACAGTTTTTCTGTTATTTGGAAGGGTAAAACTTCTCAAACAGCAATAATAACCTGGAAGGGCTTTTACCATTTCAAAAATTAAAATAGCAAACAAAAAAATCTTGCCATTAGATACACTTTAACCAAAATATTGTATTTTGTAAGAAAGTTCAGTAGAAAGGAGGGCATAGTAGCTCATGGAAAGCAACCAGAAAGCTGGTTCATTAGTCGTCCCTCTCTAAACTGTTAAAAACTGGGTTCAAACTCATAAATTAATTTGTGCTGGTTAGTTAAAAAAAAAAGTATTTTTCCTGTGTTTTTCTTTAAGAGAACCCTTCAATTATTTCATCCACCGAATATCCACGATGTGTGTTTAAATACATAAGAAATCATGGCGTAGCGAAGCGTTGAGCACAGTAACATAATCACATAGTTTAGTGACGCATAGTAAAGTGAAGGTGCATACTAATCATTTACCATAAAAATAAAAAATCTTGCTTATAAAAATTTTATATAGCTAACATTAAAGAAAAATACCTCCGTTACTCCTTTACTCATCTATGTTATAACCATAACAGATCTTGAAATGATCTGAATCATTTCGCAAGCCTCTGCCACTCTACTAATATTCCTGGGTCTATTTCCTTAAGTACCCTTATATGTTGGCACATTTTATATGAGGATCGGTGTTAACATCTGACAGAAAGTGATCAATATTAGAAGATAGTTTCTACTGCTGAATGCTTCGTTTATATAATTGCAATTTCACTGCAACAAATTGTGAATAATGCAAAGGCATATCTGTTACAAGTGTAAGCATTGCTAGCTAGTTAGCACTGCACTATAAAAATTGCAGGAGAAACAAATGAGCATTTGCATCATTAGTGACACTGCCAACAGCAGAAGCACTAAAATTAACCTTCCATTATCAGAGTCACTAGTGGAAGTTGCTGACACTGATATTAAACCAGTAGCTAGCTGGGAGCCAGTGATTCAGTAACATATTGCTGATTTGGGCAGCAATGGGAGTGATTCCACTGGACTATGTAGGTAAAGATTTAGAGCTTCAGTGTCAGGTGTCATAAGTGGCAAAAATCTCATGGTGTGGGCCTTAGATACCTTTAAATAAAGAAAAGTTTTATTTCTTTAATCACAGTTTCTGTTAAAAATGGCCATGTAATATATACAATCATGTAAAAAAGTAAATATACCCCATGGAAATGTTTGACATTTTTAATATATTTGAGTTGGCAAATATTACATCTTCATTTGAATAGTGTCTAACAGATAACGGTAATATTTTGAATAAAAACAAGGAAATTTTAAATTTACAATCATTTATTAAAAAATTGCCCATGTAGCAAGTATGACTTCCTGTAAGTGTTTGGTTTAGCTGCCCACCAGTCTCTGAAATCTTTGACCTCTTCATCTAGCAAAATTCTTTCAGTTGCAAATTGTTTGTGGTGTTCCTTGCATGCACTGCCAGTTTAAAACACCTCCACAACATTTCAATGGGAATCAAATGAGGGCTCTGATTTGACCAGTTGATAACCTTCAATTTCTTCATTTTAATGCAATGTATTTGGTAGTGTGTTTTTGAATTATGCATTTCTTTTTATAATTTAGGACAGATGGGCTTACAATCTCAACAAACACACTTTTCTATGATGTAGCATTTATAGTTTGCTGAATGATATAAGTTTTTCATCCCTCAAGCAGCAAAACTACCCCAAACCATAGCATTTTTACCACTATGCTTCTGAGTTGTTATGAGATTTTGCTCCTGAAATGCTGTTTTAAGTTTTCACCAAACATGCCTACTGTTACTGTGGCCAAATAACTCTCATTTAGATTCATCAGTTCTTGGAACATTGTTCCAGATGGTCTTGGTTGATATGGTTCAGTGACAAACTTAGGGAGACTGCTGGCTCCCACAGCTAATGTAGCTAATCCTGTCCACTCGCATGTAATCTTTCATACAGTGATCACTTGAATGTAATCAGCCCTGGAAGCAGTCAGTCTGAACCCAGGACAAATCATCACATGTAATCACTGCATGAGCGAGTGCCGGGTGCATTTGCAGGTGTCTTGCTCTAATGTTATTTTTAGACAGCAAAGGATTTTTCTGTCTGGCACATATCCCATGCAGGATATGTGCGAAGGCACAATGGGACAATCTTTTTCTGATAGTAGATTAATTTTGATACCAGATATTGAAAAATGGACTTGCCTACTCTACAATGCATTATTTTAGGTTCCTGGAAAATTATTTTTACATTAAAGAGTCAGCTTTTGGGCTGAGTTTGCTGGGCCAGCCAGTCCTGTTCAAAATCTGTGTCGCTAGTAGATTATTACCTTTACAGTGAAATAGTTGACTTCAAATCATTTGACAATCTTTTAAATTTCTTGCCAGACTCCTTGGTATCCACAATTTTCATTCCGAGGGCCTTATAGAGCTATATGACACTACACATGCCAATAGCAAAGACAACACCCTGACCCAAGATCTCTGATTTATATATGACAGGTTTCACCTACATACTTCCTCAGGAGATTTTAATCATTGACACATAATCTGGAACACTTTATTCTAATTTAATGGATTTGAAGTAGTGGTAAGTATAGAGGTGAACTTACTTTGACATTTGACATTAAATTTACATTTTTGTTAATTTAGATAAAGATAATTAAATATATCATGTCAGTTTTATGTCTTCTTTGTTAAGAATGTCACCTTTATCTGTAGAAAATGTTTAAATGAAGATATGATGGTTTTCTGTTGAAATATATTGAAAAGGTCAACAATTTCCATAGTGTGTACTTATTTTTTCACATGACTGTTTACTGTTTGGGTACATGCATTTTTCTTTTGAACTTCCTAAAATGGGTAACCTAGTTCTACTCCCTGCTGCAGGAAGGTACTTTTAATGAATGTGTAAATCAATGTTCAGGGGTTACTAAGACGTAACTAATTTATTCCACTAACAAACAGATACCTTAGTTTTAGTAAGGCATATTGGATCATTCACTGGCTCATTTTTTACTCAGCAACTCATGGACAGGTTAATATGTTTGGCTTGGACATTTACATATATTTACATATTACATATTTAGTCTGGCTGAAAAAAGACAAAAGTCTGTCCAGTTCAACCATAGCTAAAAAAAAAAAAGTTATAATCCTACACCTACAATTGATCCAGAGGAAGGCAAAAAACCCAGCAAAGCATGATCCAATTTGCTTCTACAGGGGAAAAAATGAATTCCTAATCCTCCGAGAGGCAATCGGATGTTTCCTGCATCAACTTTACCTATAAATGTTAGTAACCAGTTATATTCTGTGTATCCAAGAATGAATCCATGCCTTTTCTAAAGCAATCCACTGAGCCGGCCAGAACCAACTCTAGAGGAAGTCTATTCCACATTTTCACAGCTCTTGAAGCTGTGAAGAATCCTTTCCATGATGTTTAATTACTTTTCCTCCAGACGTAAAGAGTGCCCCCTTGTCCTCTGTGATGACCTCAGGGTGAATAGCTCTACACCGAGTTCATTATATGTACCACTGATGTATTTATACATGCTGATCATATCCCCCCTTAATCTCCTCTTCTCAAGAGAGAATAAATTCAGTTCCTATAATCTTTCCTCATAGCTGAGCTCATCC